TATTCTGATGCACAGAACTGTATTAATTACTATTATTTATGTAGCAAAAATGGTTCTACCCGCTAACAAAGTTAAAGTTAAAGTTAAGCAACGATATATACTTCTACTCGCGTTTTATATTATTAGTAAGTTCACTGATAATATCGAATTCCGTGATAAACTCTCTCTTGGAGAAATTCTCTGATAAATTAATTAATCAATGTGAGTCGAGTGTTGATCTCTAAAAACTGGTGACACCGCGTGTCAGGGCGATGTAACACGAGAATTCCGACTGAGCGTCGCCAGGCAAGGCCGTATCGGTAATTACATTTGCGGTCTGTAATTATACATTACTCGGCCGAGTCAGTGTTTACGAGCGCCTTTGTGCGAAGAGATATTCACGGGTTTCTTCAACGAGCACGCCATCCTTTCGCCCGGCATTCAGGCAATTTCACCACTTGCATTCCTTTCATACGGATACACGCCAGCGACGTACGAACGGTAGAAAAGAAACCGTGGTCGATTAAACGAGAGAATAATTATAGCCGGTTGAATGCTTCTCTTGTTTCTTCTTTCTGTCTTTCCCTTGCTTTGTGCTTCTCGCATTCCTTTCCTACTGTACTCTGTCTTATAAACGACGAGAGCGATCTCCCTTCTGCATCGCTGAAGCCGAGGCAAAATGATTGCGCAACCTTATCGGATGATAGTCGAGGCAACTAAGACTTAAATACCCAATTACTCTGTATTAGATAGCAATGGATCTTGATCACCTGAGGATAATTCGCCGTTCAAAAGTAGCTTAAATGACATATAATTTTACAATTTCACGAGATTCCCTGTGTAACATTTTAATTTTATTGATTGAAATATTTTTTTACTCGACACACTCGGCATGTAATTATCGGTTATTTTGTACATATGAATGAATAATTTAATGCCAATAAATTGGAGTGACAAGTTCCATTAGGTTTAGAAACATAGCTGGTGTACTTGTGAGACCAAAAGGCAAACAATCGAACTCGTAATGGCCATTTGGAAATCGAGAAAACAGGTTTATTTTCGATTTGGGGCCGACGGAAGCCTCGGGCCAACAGATAATTATGAGATACCGTGCACTTGCGAAACCTACATTAAATCCCCGTACATTCTTTGATTTTTATCTCGGATATCTGTTCGACTTAATACGTTGATCGCGTGTGTCCTAAGTGCAACATTTCTTTTGTCATCAGATAAAGTTTATTCTATTAGAACAGAAATATCAATCATTTTGGATAATTTATAGTTCATTCAAGGGTAAATGTAACGAAGAACGTCATAATAAAATGAATTGCTATGTGTTAAACTTCTGCAATCGCGACAAGAACATCACGCGGCAATGAAACAAATTTTTCTGTTTCGCAGGTTCGGTTAGCGTGCACCGGAGTCTTGTAGGGAATCCGGAAGTAACTGACGAACGGAGAAGAAAAGGAAAAGTTGCGACAGTGAATCGCGTCGCATTGGGAAATCCCACCGAGTCTTTCGTTCCACGTCTACGTCCGTACGCGCTGTTCCTTCTTCGTCCTTCTGGCCACTCGAAGCGAGGAGATCGAGCACGTTAGTCGATCAGTTTCCACCGAGAAAACGAAAACGGAAGGTGGTCTCAGCTTCGGTACCTGACACGAGTGGCGAGTAGTGGGCTCGCGGCTCGGAATTGGGACAGGAGAAACGTCGCGGCGTGATAATAGCATCGTCCAGCACGATGGCTTGCGAATTTTCTAAGGTGAGTTTCAGAGAATATCTACGAGGAAAAAGATACGCGGTCGTTGCTATTCACTCGCGCGATCCGCGCGCACGCTTGCCAATTTGCCGGCAATAATATTTAATAGCCAGCTGATTGTTTCCTAATCGCCGGGTTTACGTTGCTCGGCCTATACGATATTCCCGAGATTACGAGATTACAGCGTTAATTGATCCGGAGACGAGAGCCGGCGGCTCGATGATTCCGTAATCGTTGCGTCGTCGCCGTGACGATCAAATATTAGAGTAGACCGCGGACATTGTGCATTCGTAACGAAATCGAATGTTCATGACATTTAAACACTGCGTGCAGTGCATAATACCGAAAACAAAGTGCACGTTGCAATGTTTAAATGATAAGGAAAATGTCGCACTCGCGTCTCCGTTCAATTTTTTATATTCATCTATCAACTTAGTATTATGATATATCAGTGATTCTCAAAGTATATTGGTGTTGCGATATGCAGAATATCCTCAAATGGTGCTCCGGTTGGGCTGAATCATGTCCAATTTTTAAATTCTATACGTGAGCGAAGAGAAACGATTGAGAATCGCTGTAATTCATTATGAGATACTTCGAAATGCAGTGTACAATTTTCGATCGTCGATAACACGGTCTTTGCTTATTCATAATTCTACTCTCATGTTTTATGAACGACGAATTACACAGAATGATTCTCGTTATTCGCGTATACTTAGGAATTGTTCAATTTACGACGGAATGCACACGATGATTTATGCGAAGCGTCCTTCAAATAAAGTAAAGAACAGAAGGGAAGAGTACGATGCGTCGATCGAGATAAGCCGCGTTATATAATTTGCGGAATTTCGAATTTATCTAGCGAACGATATTAATAATGCTCGTTACCGTGGTACTATAATCGTCGTCGGGGGACGAGAGCCGATGCATGCGAGAAGCCTAGCCAGCTTAATTACTGCAGCGCGATCTTGCAGTAACTGGCTCATCGTTTCCAATTTCATGTACATCGGCCGGAATGGAAATTCATAAGCTCCGCGGCGATCGATCGTGTTCGTTCGTGCGGAAGTTGTTGAAATTTCAAGCGAATCCGACGTCTCGTGTGGCTCCCGTGTATTACCGAGAACTGCACTATGCATGTTTCTTCGCCGATGCAACGAGCCAGAATTCGAAAGTACCAATCGGGTTTCCCTGCTCTGCTCGCGTTACGTTTCGCTATTTACGTCGAAGCGACGACTGCCGTTGGTTCGTTGCACATACTTCTGCTCGCACGGCGGTCACCGGGCCGCTGTCAGCGAACAACAAAGTTGCGCGTACGGGGTTTAGCTTTGTACGACTTTGCAACCCCCGGCCGCTTCGCGCGGCAACTTGGCAAGTGAATTAATCAGCGCGCGTCCCTTTCTCGCTCGCGTTTCACCCGCTGTCACGTTCTCGAGCGACTCGACGCGAGAATCGTTCTGATTAATTCGCAATGAAGACGGTTCACGAATCCACGAGCGGTTCGACTGCACGTCCAGCCACACTGGCTGTGAAACGCGCGTTACACCCGCGCGCTTATCCTTCTCCACGATCATACACACGTACACGTGCGCACACACATACATACACACACAGAGTCAATTTTCTTTCATTCTTCTTCTCGTCTCGTTACTTGATTTTCAATTAAATCCGCTTCCTGCGTGGCTGAATGACGTTACCACTTGCGCATCCGTTTACACGCTTGCACGCGTGTGGCGTGTCCTCACGTAGCAAAAAATGATAGCGGCAAGAGGCGAATCGGAAATGTACGTTCACGATATGGCATACTCGAGCAAATAAGAAACGATGGGCAATAGTTGATGGGCGCACTATAAATCGCTGCTGTACAAAACTCTAGACGTCCGTCTAGGCGACGCTTGAATCAATCGGTCTGTTCAGATTTTCATTGTAAAATAACCACACGAGCGATAAATCAACGAACGAGGACAGAAAGTGACGAGCGAAAAAAAATGAAATTTATTGGTCCGTTGCTCTTAGTATCCCTCGGGTGTGCAGCATCGGGTGGTCTTTAGTCAACCAGCCGGCAGCCGAGGAAGACGTTGAACGAGGACGATGATGATGATGTCCGATGTTGTATAAATTCTTCTCTCTGTGTCTGTGTCCTGGCGTGTAGCTCGAACGATGGCCGATTCACGCGGCTTCAAGCCAATAAACCAGTTGTGGCAGAGCGCGGCAGTGTCGACGGACCCGGATTCGGAGTGCCTCTACGAAGAAATCTTGGGCCTCTCGGGGTCCCAGGATACGGAGCCAGGGCCGGCCGGGGCCGCCGTTGGCGAGGAGGAGGAGGAGGAGGAGGAGGAGGAGGAGGAGGAGGTGGAGGAGGAAGAGGAAGAGGAAGAGGAGAGAGAAGTGGTGGAAAAGGGGAAGCGAGGAAGGCTCGATTTCGGTGCTCAGGTCGGCGGTAGCAGCTGGTGGAGACAGACGAAAGGAGCCGAGAAGCACGTCAGTAGCGTCGCCGGCGGCACGGGGGTACGAAAGAGCCACAAAAGTGTCGGTACCAGCGCGGGCGCGAGATCGCGCAGCAGATCGGCCGATCGGCCGTCGAGCGGGCGCCAGAACATCGTCAGGGTGGAGGAGGAGCAGTATGCCGCGCGTAGAAGTTACGTGGAGCCCGGTACAGGCGCCGTACTGCCGCCTCCTGTCGCCGGCCTCAAGCTGACCAGGGGGCGTGCAACCAGCACCGTCGCCCGTTACTTGCACTCGGCTTCCACCAACACCGGCCACTATCACCATCATCATCACGGGCTGCACGGACAGTATCAGCCCGGTGGCATCGAAAGGCCGGCCGGTAGGCATCACCAGCATCATCACCGAAGCCGCGGCGCGTTCAGTAATGAGACGCAGGAAGAGGTACAGGAGGACGATGAAGCCACTCTACGGGAGTTGCTCGTAAGGTACGTTTCTCTCGACGTACCCACCATTTACATATATATATATATACCTCTACTACGTTATATCGACCTCTAAAGTTATTATACCTACTTGTGAAACACCTCCACGCGTATTAGAGTTACTTTCGATTAACGAACATCGCGATCACGTGGCTTTCTTACATGTTATACTATACCGTACACCTACGACTAGCGATGGGCGTTCGAATCCAGACTTCGAAACGAATCCAAGTTCTTCAAAATCGTGAATTGGAACCACTTCGAACGTGTTTCCAAGCTGAGGATTCTCGACTTTCTCGGAAGTCTTGATCGTCTCGGGGAGCTTGGTTATTTTCAATAATCGGATGTAGACGAATTCAATGAGTAAGCGACTCTTAAACCTACCGATCTATTCAAGATGTTAAAAACTCCCGAGATGATCGGGACGAAACAATACCTTCGACGCTCACCGAGATTTTCGAGGGTTCTGAGCTTCGAATCAGATTCGGAATTTTTCGTCAGTTTCGAAGCGATTCGAAGCGTTTCAGATCCCATCACTACCTACTACTATCGTTACTATTATTTCATCGTAGAAAATTACACGGTCTCAGACACTCCTGTCGCGAAACGGACAGTTTCTACGTTTTTTGAACAAACGTAACACACGATACAAGAGTAATTTGTCATAGACGTTATTAGATTCGGCGTCGCCACCGACGCTTCTGAGAATTATCTGGATTGTTTGGATCGTTCTTAGCGACATTAAAAAAAAATCTTCGGTTTCATAATCTTTCATGTATCTGAGATAACGAAATTGTTCGATTATTTAATAATTGATACATACGACGCGTCCGCTGTGTTTTACGAACGACGACGCTTCATACGCAGCGACTTAGAAAAAATTGTGTTTGCATTTTGTCGGAAAAACTTTCAATCTTGACGACGAGTATCTCGAAGCATTTCCACGTTTCACTCGATAGCTTAGCTTTTTCTTTTCTTAGGATCCTGTAATTAACATTCCTCATAGTGACGTCTATCTATAGAAATCATTCTCTCTTATAGGACCATTTATGCTCTGTATTTTTTGTATCTGGAGCGACTGAAGCGTAGTTGTAGTCGAGCAACGAGTTTTCAGATCTTTTCAAATTTATTTCCCCTCAACTTTTTTCCCTTCAACTTTCAGAAGTCTTTCTAAGTAACTTTAGCTTAGTGCCACGGCAATTTTGTAGAACAGCGTGTACAAGCTCTCAAGACTTGCATACCAATTAAGAGAACACTTCTCGCTCAGCTATTATTCGCCCTGAAGTACCCGAATCGATACCACTTAGGTACTTATCGATCACAAACTCTCTCGTAGACAAGAATTACTATCCAACGAACCCTTTTCCACGAACATTGTTCTTTTGAACGGCCAGTAATCTGACGATGTATTCTAAACGCATCCAGGTAATTCCCGGCCTAAGTGGCGGTGCCTCGTTCACCCGAATCGCAATCATTGCCAATTGAAAGTGAGAAAGAATAGAACGAACAAACGAAGAAAGAGCAAAAAAAAAGAAAAAAAGAAATTAAAAGTAATAAAGAGAACAGACGTTTTCCCTGCTTATCGTTTTACATAGACTTTTTATGTATCAGAGAATGCAATGTAAGGCTTTGTGCCGTGCCATTTATCATTTATACATAAATCACACTCGCTCTAGTCCTATTCTTGTACATACGACACACCCTTGGTCATAAAACAGTAAATATCGAGACACCGGTGATACGTTTGTCAGACGGTTTCTTACTTCTTACATTTACATTTACATTACGATTGTTTTTTGGCTGCGGCGCTCGCAGGCTTACCACTGATTGCTCATATTCCATTCGATGTCATACGTCACGTTTTCTCGGAGGTCAGGTACACAAATAAGTGCGCGAGCGGCGCCGAAACGATAACGGGGAATATCGAAAACGAGACACAAAGGGAAACGAGAAACAGCACGCCGCGTCCCGTTTCTGAATCACACGCACGAGTGTATGCCCGGCAGTAAATGCATCCCATCGTGTGCAACGGTGTTCCTCACCGATTTCATTCGCCGAACGCATTGTCCCGTCAGACGTTATAATGGAATTCACGCGCGAAACAAACGCAATTCGTTGGTTCATTAGCGGCGGAGCGTCGCCAAGGAACCATCCACCGCACACACGTGTCTTACAATTGTATGTCCAATGTGTTACACACGTTTATATATGTACTTACTTACTTACTTACTTACTTACTTACTCGTATGTGAATGTACACGTTTTCAGTAGCGACGTCAGATACGATCGTTCCCTCGGCATCGTTCCGATCGATACACTCATAATACACGTCGTTACTTCGACGTGGCCGCGATCGTTGGCGACTTATTTGTGTGCGTGTCTCCCGTTATTTTTACTCACTGTCATGGGATCATTGCTGATTTTTGTAAATTATTTTGCCGATCGATCGATCGTTTCGCATCCAAAAGTGATGGGCCGAATTTCGTTCAAATTGCAAGCTCGCTTGTGGACGCGGGCGGCTAGGCAGGGGTGAGTAAGCTGGCGGCGCGTCGCATGGCGATGCGCGAATGAAAAAGAATTCGAAAAGAAAAGAAAAGTAATAATAAAAAAAAAAAGAATAGAAAGAACGACACGTGACGGAGCCGTGCCTTAGAAGAATCGGACGTCACGTGAATAATTCGAGACGAATAATGCCATTGTATGACATGATTATTGACTGAACCACGACTGTGTTTCCAAACTAGGTAAAGTTTTACAGAGTGAGTGAGATAAGAGGCAGGGGCGGGCGTCGTCGGCCTTTAAACCCCCCGCCACACGTTACCCCTCCACCTTTGGTTGTGGACCCACTTGACAACAAGCTGTGCAATCGTTCAGAGTCAATTGATTGGATTTGGTGGATAATCCAACGTACGTACATATGTCGTGAACAAAGCAAAGAACAAATAGATCTGTGAGAATAAGACGAAATACTGAATCAAGAGGAGTGAGTGGGGAGGCATAGAGGCTACTGTAGTTTCGGAACACAGCCATGGTCTCCCTACCTCCCAGGTACATGGCAACATCATCATTGCTCTTTCTCTATCTATCTATCTATCTATCTATCTATCTATCTATCTATCTATCTGTCTGTCTACTTATCTATTGTATTTTCTTTTTTCTCAATCAATCTTCTTTTCTATTGTCTCCGCGTACCTTTCCACCCTCCGATGAAACTCTGTTTATTTTTCTTTTCGTTCAGTTTCCACTTTATCATCCCGTTCATTATCTCTCTCTCTCTTTCTCTCTCTCTCTCTCTCTTTCACTGTCTCACTCTCTTTCCACTACGGCTCATGTGTTCATTCATTTTTCGCTATTCACCTGCCACTCGTCGTGTCTTGCATAAATTTTCTCTTTTTATTCACTTCCTCACAAACACTCTCTCTCTCTCTCTCTTTTTCTATCTCTGTTTCTTTTTCTTCTTTTATTCGATCCCCCGATTAAGTAAAGCGAAAAAAAAAAAAGAGAACCACCTTTTAATGCTTGGCTGTGCACATCGATCGATAAGTTTGCTAAATCTCCTACAATCGAGAGATCTCGTTTTCATGCCGTTCGATTACGTACTTATACATTATTTGTTCATATCTACCATATGCGACCAGGTGCAAATTAACTGAACCGTGCATCGAATCATACCGATTTTTACCCGCTTGCACATTCCCGCATCGTGTCAGTAGAAATCACGAGCGTTCGCCAGTGCTCTCGCGTTTATGGGGAAAACGGCCGTGACGTTTTACGAGAATGAGACTCGAGATTAGAACGAACAGTAACCACGACCAAACGGCGATGTCGTAACGAAATGATTCGGGACATGCTTTATAACCGGGAACTATGATTACCATCTCTCACCTCTCACAAACTTCCATCTAATGTGCACAGCTGTGAGAACTATGTATATATATATGATTAAATACATATATATCACCGTAGTGTTTCTCACCACCCCCT